AGTACAATTTCAGAGAGATCCATACACTTGAACACAAGTTATTGTCTGGAAACTAGAAAAAAACTTATTTTTTGCCCCTTATTCCTAAACATTTCAGGCAATTACCACCAAACCCAATTCCAGCTTTCCCTTTGTGATATGGAACCTTGTAGTACAATTTCAGAAAGATCCATACACTTACACACAAGTTATTGTCATGAATCTAGAAAAATGCTTGTTTTTTGCCCCTTTTTTGGCCCCTAATTCCTAAAATTTTGAGGCAATTACCCCCAAAATCAATCCCAGCATTCCATTTGTTTATGGAACCTTGTGGTACAATGTCAGAGAGATCCATACACTAACACACAAGTTATGTCTGGAAGTTACAAAAAAGCTTATTTTTGGCCCCTAATTCCTTAACTGTTGGTACCATAACCCCCAAAATCAATCCAAACCTTCCTTTTAGTGGTATTGAACCTTATGGTAAAATTTCATAGAGATCCATTCTCTTAAACTAAAGTTAGAGTGCGAAAACCAATGTGTCTGCAGACGATGATGACGACGACGCCAACGTCATACCAATATACGCCTGAAAATTTTTTTTGCGGTCGTATAAAAAGGGATTCTTCATTTATTATAAAAAAAACCACAGAATTTTGAATTTTTTCAACAATCAAGTATCATAACTCTGGGATGATAAAAGTGAAAACGACGAAAATTGAACTTAAACCGTTTTTTTGTGGCCCAAAACATTCCATTAAAATTTCAATAAATTTCAAATAAAATGCTTCGCTGGGGCGCAGCTTGATACGACCGCAGAGGTCGAACCCTGAACAGTTGGGGCAAGTATGGACACAACATTCAAGCTTGATACAGCTCTGAATTTGGATTGTTATTAAATATTTGACACAGCATAGGTTTCTGACACAGAAAGAATGTGGTCTAAGAACTTGAATTTTTTTAATTTACCTATTATGGTCCAATGTCCAAAATCAAAATACATGGTTAGATTCAGCATATCAAAGAACCCCATATATTCAATTTTTGTTAAAATCAAACAAAGTTTAATTTTGGACCCCAACTTGGACAAACTTGAAAACTGGGCCCATAATCAAAAATCTAAACACATGTTTAGATTCAGCATATCAAAGAACCCCAAGAATTCAATTTTTGCTAAAATCAAACTAAGTTTAATTTTGGACCCTTTGGACCTTAATGTAGACCAATTTAAAAAACGGGACTTAAAATTAAAAATCTAAATACACGGTTAGATTTGGAATATCAAAGAACCCCAATAATTCAATTTTTGATGAAATCAAACAAAGTTTAATTTTGGACCCTTTTGACCTCAATATAAACCAATTTGATAGCGGGGCCCACAAATAAAAAATCTAAATTCATGGTTAGATTCAGCATATCAAAGAACCCCATATATTCAATTTTTGTTGAAATCAAACAAAGTTTAATTTTGGACCCCAACTTGGACAAACTTGAAAACTGGGCCCATAATCAAAAATCTAAACACATGTTTAGATTCAGCATATCAAAGAACCCCAAGAATTCAATTTTTGCTAAAATCAAACTAAGTTTAATTTTGGACCCTTTGGACCTTAATGTAGACCAATTTAAAAAACGGGACCTAAAATTAAAAATCTAAATACACGGTTAGATTTGGAATATCAAAGAACCCCAATAATTCAATTTTTGATGAAATCAAACAAAGTTTAATTTTGGACCCTTTTGACCTCAATATGAACCAATTTGATAGGGGGGCCCACAAATAAAAAAATCTAAATACATGGTTAGATTCAGCATATCAAAGAACCTCATATATTCAATTTTTGTGGAAATCAAACAAAGTTTAATTTTGGACCCCAATTTGGACCAACTTGAAAACTGGGCCCATAATCAAAAATCTAAATACATGTTTAGATTCAGCATATCAAAGAACCCCATATATTCAATTTTTGTTGAAATCAAACAAAGTTTAAATACTGGACCCTATCTTGGACCAACTTGAAAACTGGGCCCATAATCAAAAATCTAAACACATGTTTAGATTCAGCATATCAAAGAACCCCAAGAATTCAATTTTTGTTAAAATCAAACTAAGCTTAGTTTTGGTCCCTTTGGACCTTAATGTAGACCAAATTAAAAAACAGGACCCAAAATTAAAAATCTAAATACACGGTTAGATTTGGAATATCAAAGAACCCCAATAATTCAATTTTAGATGAAATCAAACAAAGTTTAATTTTGGACCCTTTTGACCTCAATATGAACCAATTTGATAACGGGGTCCACAAATAAAAAATCTAAATACATGGTTAGATTCAGCATATCAAAGAACCCCATATATTCAATTTTTGTTGAAATCAAACAAAGTTTAATTTTGGACCCCGATTTGGACTAACTTGAAAACTGGGCCAAAAATCAAAAATCTAAATACATGTTTAGATTCAGCATATCATAGAACCTCATATATTCAATTTTTGCTAAAATCAAACAAAGTTTAATTTTGGACCCTTTGGACCTTAATGTAGACCAATTTGAAAACTGGACCCAAAATTAAAAATCTAAATACACTGTTAGATTCGGCATAACAAATAAATAAATGTGATCAAAGATTTTACAAATCTAATGCGCCATACTGTGCAATTAAAGATTACTTCTTGAAATTTTTCAATATTTGAAATTTGAAAAAAAAATAATATTTGAAGAATAATTCTTTTTTAATTTCTGAAATCTGAAATGAGAAAAAATTGACCCCCCACAATTTCTTTTTATCCCCCCCCCCCCCCACCTTTTTTCCCCCAAAAAATTCTTTCCCTCAAGATATAGTCATAATCTCAATTCAAATTTCCAATGGAGTTGGCAACCATAATTACCCTTTTAAATTTACCATAGTGCTAACTTAATCTATTTTATAATAGAATTAAAAATATAGTGTCAAATCTTTCATATGGATTTTTTTGTAAAAAAAAAAGATGCAACATTTGCAGATATTTTTACTGGTCTTCCTTTATAAATATGCATTTCTTTAAACATAATTTAAAAGCAGTGTAAGGGAAGTAACTAAAACGTTGTATTTGGATTACCTCCCTTACACTGTTTTAAATTATCTTTATTGTTCATTAACCATTACTTTATACATAATTTAAAAGCAGTGTAAGGGAGATAATTTCAATGATGTATTTGATTTATCTCCCTTACACTGCTTTAAATTATGTTTTGTACTAAAGTATTTGTCCATTAACCAGGACAACCTTGTTTTTCCCCCTTTTTTGCCCCTAATTCCTAAACGGTTTGAGCCATAACCCCCCAAAGCAAATCCTTACCATCCCTTTGTGGTATGGAAACTTGTAGTATAATTTCAGAGAGATCCATACACCGTTGCACAGTTATTGTCTGGAAACTAGAAAATGCTTATTTTTGGCCCCTTTTTGGCCCCTAATTCCTTAACTGTTGGTACCATAACCCCCAAAATTAATCCCAACCTTCCTTTTGTGGTATTTAACCTTAAAGTTAAATTTCAAAAAGATCCATTCACTTAAACTAAAGTTAGAGTGCGAAAACCAATGTGTATTCGGACGACGACGCCGGACGACGACGACGACGACGCCAACGTCATACCAATATACGACCACAAAATTTTTTTGCGGTCGTATAAAAACTGTTCGCTATCATCTGGAAACCAAAAGTGTGATGGACGGAGGAACCAACGTGCAACTCTCTCTAGCAGGAGTATTATAAAAATATATAAGCTGTAATCAGTAGATCAAACACAACTAAACTGGCATGTGGTCTATATCATGTACTTACTGGAAAAAAGGCCAAATTGTGAGACAATAAAACAGGTTAAAATTCATCTGTTTAGTTGGGTTTCCTTTACAAAAGAAGCTGATTTAAGTTAATAAAGGATGCTGGTAGGCAATAATACAACTTATTTTATGAAAATGTTCTGTTCCAATGCCTGTTTTAGGTACATGTACAAGAGTATCAAATCTGAAACAAAAATCACAGAATATGCGATACCGAAATTGTACAATAAAAATGTCTAAATATTTACAGAGATAGTCAAGCAAACTAACAAAATCATCTTGTTTTACTCCTATGATATATCTATATAAACATCAGTCATGTTGATCAGAAAATTGGGACAATTCAAGAGCTTGGTAACTTTCAGATCAAATCCAGAGTTCAAAATTTACCTGTATTACTGAGCTATTTTCAAACATAAACACCTAGTACTGTATATCATTTGATAAACATTGACACTGAAGAAGACTATTTGTTCAGTCAAAATATATGTCAATATGATTTTATAACATCCTCTTCGTAAACTATACCATCTGATATTTGTAGCATTGAGCAAATCAAGACTTTTTTTAACATATATATTTTTGGGATCATCTCAAACAATCTGATATATTTCCCTAAATAAATTATTGTTGCTTAGTGTAATTACTTCACACTAGGTTAACAAACACAGATAGTGGAAGTGTTTATCTAAACACACTCTTTCTAAATGGATTTATATCGGTTATGGTAATCATGGACATTGGTAAAGCATTAAAATGAACTGACAATGCCATAGCAATAAAAGAAACATAACCAAAAGACAAACAACAGTCCATAAAACACAACACAGAAAACTAATTACTGAGCAACACAAACCCAACAAAAAACGTGGTTACGACAATTGGAACATATCCGTCTTAAAAATTATCAGTGACTGATCTGAAAATGTGTCACATGGTTTAGCTTTAGCTTACAAATATTGAGCTTGGTTCTTAATATCAAGATTTTATTTTATTTGTAATCCCTGAAAATGTATTAGACAGATATGTGTTAAAAATGAATGGACAGAGCTTAACCAGTTTACCCCTTCACTTGGAGTTGGGCATAACTATATTTTTTGTAGACAATGTCTTTTTTATTTATATACTTTACAAAGACAATTGGAACTTTTTGTTTGAAATTACTGATGATAAAAGACAATTTGGAATGTCAACAATACAGAGGTTTAATAAATTACTTTTATTCACATATCAGATCTATATAAAAACAATAATTTACAACTTTATGAACATATGATATGTAAATATACAGAAATAGGACGGAGAACATAAGTTACAATTAATTTATATTTTCATATCAGAATATTCAATAGATATTGAATTCTATTTTTATAACCATTTCATAACTTTTTAATATTGTAATTTAATAAAAAATATCCCCTTCACAAAAATGGTTTTCAGTAAAGACATCTAAAGTCATGACAGAAATAGACAAATATATGTATCAGTAATTTAAACTGGAGGATCATAGAAAAAAAGTGCTTATGAGTATTCAGGGTAAAGATTGCATTCATTTTGCAGTAGGAACTAAAAATTAAACAATGCATTTTATTAAGCATTGGAAGGCAATACTATGAATAGGACATATCTTCTGCAGTTGGTTCAAATACAATTATTGACAAAGGAAGATAACTCCAATTTTAAATATTACTTAAACAATGACATCATTGATATTAGACCATGCAACATGCACAATTTATGTCATTTTCTTAACAAGTATGGTTATACACAAAAACATTATTCTGTAACTAGAATATCTGAGTATATATCTCATTGGTAAATTTCTTGAAATGTTCATGGATAGGGTGTATAGAATGTTGTGCTTAAATGCACTATGTTTTTCCCCTCAAAAGTAGTGATAAAGTCTGGAAAATTGATAAACATCAAGCCAGCCCATAAGGGTTTTATTGCATGAATGCAATCTTTACCCCAAAATATAAAACATTCAAATGTCATTTGTATATAAAATAAGAGAAATATGATTCTTCTGTAAGGCAGAATAAGAATATGAAATACTTTCCTGTCACTCATTTAACTTTACATATATTTGTCTGTAATTTTGTCACATCTTATTTACCTATATGTCCGATCTGTACTACAGCTGATTCATATAAAGAATAATATAACAGACAACAACGGAGAATTACAATGTGTAGACTCCATAAGTTTATAATCTTTATATATATCATGTTTTGTATCATCTTTTAATCCCAGAACACTCTGGTGAACACTATCCATGAGATAAGATTTTGCAAAATGAGATAGGTAAGAAACAATTGTTTTTCTTCACATGTCATAACCACCACCTCCAAACTGAGCTGTGTCGTAATCTTGTTCCTACAAAAAAATTTTTTTTTTTTAACTATGTTAAATATTGATATACTATTACAGTTGAAACCTAAATATGTTGAAGTCCAAGGGATCCAACATAACTATTATAACATGATTTATCCAAGGTTTGAGTCCAAGGGATCGGCCATAACTATTATAACATGACTTATCCAAGGTTTGAGTCCAAGGGATCCGACATAACTATTATAACATGACTTATCCAAGGTTTGAGTCCAAGGAATCTGACATAACTATTATAACATGACTTATCCAAATTTTGAGTCCAAGGGATCCGACATAACTATTATAACATGCCTTATCCAAGGTTTGAGTCCAAGGGATCCGACATAACTATTATAACATGATTTATCCAAGGTTTGAGTCCAAGGGATCGGACATAACTATTATAACATGACTTATTCAAGGTTTGAGTTCAAGGGATCCGACATAACTATTATAACATGACTTATCCAAGGTTTATGTCCAAGGGATCCGACATAACTATTATAACATGATTTATCCAAGGTTTGAGTCCAAGGGATCGGACATAACTATTATAATAGTCCAAGGGATACGACATAACTATTATAACATGACTTATCCAAGGTTTGAGTCCAAGGGATCCGACATAACTATTATAACATGACTTATCCAAGGTTTGAGTCCAAGGGATACGACATAACTATTATAACATGACTTATTCAAGGTTTGAGTCCAAGGGATCCGACATGACTATTATGACATGACTATTATGACATGACTTATATTTTGCAAAAGATTTAAAGAAAATAACTAGAGTCTCCAAAGAGCCTGTATCACTCACCTCAATATTAGTTCCAGAGAAGATTTTTGTTAACGATAACGGATGAAAATGTCATACAAAAGACCAAGGATGCCCAAGTGATGGCAAAAGCTGACACTGGCCCTTTAAGTCAGGTGAGCTAATCAAACAAATCAAAGGAATTTGAACTGTCAGAATACTACAAAACAAGCACTGCGGACTTAAAACAGCAGGATTACCTGATTTAATTTCTTGAATTCAACGACTTGTGCAAACACATATTCCAATATATGCTTTGCATCCCGGGCATCTGCTGGTAACTTTGTTGTAACAGCTAATATATCTCCACATTCTCTGGTGAAATATTCCAGATCTTCATCTGTACCTATAAATTTATACCATAGAATGAATAAATGCAGGGTTAACAAAAGTAACTTAGAGAGTGGTTCCAGACCATGTGAGAATCTCATGGGTAGTCAAGGTCGTTAAACACCCCTGTAGTAGTTCTCCTCCTCATTATAATTTTATTCACATCATTATATTTCAACTCATACCTTACAAATTTGAAACTTATGAACTTCTGTGAAATGTCTGTTTTAATTACCATTTTAAGTTACATTGAATCAGAACATATAATACTCATCCATATGAAAAATTTGTGTGCACCATAACTTGACCAACTCATCAGATAGTTTATAAAAAAAAATAGTTTGAACAAATACCTTAACTGAGATTAAACAGAATTATTAATACTTCAATTTTTTTAAGTTTACAACAAGATGAAATTTCATTCAATGAATTTACGAGTTTTGTTTTATCCTTAAACTTTTTTGCCGTGACTTCCATCTCCAAAAATAATACTTCATCAACCTGGCACAATGTACCAAAAGTTTTAATTGTATAAACAGTGATCATGTTGGTTAGTTGACAGCATTATGTCATCAGTTGGCAGTAATATCTAATATGCATTTAAACCTAGAACCTTAAATCATGCTTCATCCCAATTTTGCTTTAAATTGAGTGTTTTCAGTGAAAAAGTTTTTTGAAAAAGGTTACCAGACAGGCTGGCAATGACACTAAATGATGGCAATAGCCTACACTAGTCTAGTATCAAAGCTAGGAGAGCTAAAAATGAAGTAAAGACAGAAATTATACATGCTAACTTACATTTATTTGTTTGCTGGGCTAATCTAACTTTTTCAGAAGAAAATTGTTCATCAAGGTCAAACAGATCTAGACAAGGCGGTGGCAATTCTCTAAACTGGGGGGGAAACACCTGAAAAATAAAAGAGAGTTGATTTCACTTTCTGTTGAACAATAATATTACGACTAACAACTATCCAATGATACATCATATTATCACTATCATTTAGCAATGTCCATCTCTTTAAACAATTCAAGAATAATTAAAAGTGATATGTATCATGTATGATGCTATTCATATGCTCATCAAAATAAATTGTACGAAATAATAATAAGTCAGATGATTATGATTTGCTTTTGTCATCTTACGGGCAGTAAACCAAGTTTGTCTCAAAATGATGCTGTTTACTGGTTTCAAAGTTCTTATATCAACAACATCATATAAAATTCAGAGCAGATCCTTATACCAACAATGCGTAAATTCAGAGCTGATTCTTATATCAATACTATTGCATATCACTGTAAAATTCATAAGTTATTCCTTTATTTCTACAGCACCAATGTAAATTCAGAGCTGATCCTTATATCAAAAGCACCACGGGAAATTCAGAGCTGATCCTTATATCAGCAGCACCATGTAAAGTTCAGAGCTAATCCCAATATCAACAGCACTGTTTAAAGTTCAGAGCTTATTCTTCTACATTTACAGCACCAATTTAAATTTAAAGCTGATTCCTATATCAAGAGCACCTTTTAAAAATCAGACCTGACCCTTATTTAAACAGCATCAATGTAAGATTCAGAGCTATCCTTATATCAACACCATGGTGTAAAGTTCAGAGCTCATACCTTTACATCAACAGCACCAAAATAAATGCAGAGCTATCCTTATATCAACAGCACCAAAGTAAATGCAGCGCTATCCTTATATCAACACCATGGTGTAAAGTTCAGAGCTCATACCATTACATCAACAGCACCAAGGTAAATGCAGAGCTATCCTTATATCAACACCATGGTGTAAAGTTCAAGCTCATACCATTACATCAAACAGCACCAAGGTAAATGCAGAGCTATCCTTATATCAACACCATGGTGTAAATTTCAGAGCTCATACCTTTACATCAACAGCACCAAGGTAAATGCAGAGCTATCCTTATATCAACACCATGGTGTAAATTTCAGAGCTCATACCTTAACATCAACAGCACCAAGGTAAATGCAGAGCTATCCTTATATAAACACCATAGTGTAATGTTCAGAGCTAATACCTTTACACCAACAGCACCAAGGTAAATGCAGAGCTATCCTTATATCAACACCATGGTGTAAAGTTCAGATCTCATACCTTTACATCAACAGCACCAAGATAAATGCAGAGCTATCCTTATATCAACACCATGGTGTAAAATTCAGAGCTCATACCTTTACATCAACAGCACCAAGGTAAATGCAGAGCTATCCTTATATCAACACCATGGTGTAAAGTTCAGAGCTCATACCTTTACATCAACAGCACCAAGGTAAATGCAGAGCTATCCTTATATCAACACCATGGTGTAAAATTCAGAGCTCATACCTTTACATCAACAGCACCAAAGTAAATGCAGAGCTATCCTTATATCAACACCATGGTGTAAAGTTCAGAGCTCATACCTTTACATCAACAGCACCAAGGTAAATGCAGAGCTATCCTTATATCAATAGCAACATGTAAAATTTAAAGTTGATTCTTATATCAAAAGCATCAATGTAAAATTCAGAGCTAATATTAAAAACACCATGCAAATTTCAGACCGGATCATTACATCAACACTATGGTGTTAAATTCAGAGCTGACCCTAATACTGTGTTAAAATTCAGAGCTTATCCTAATATCAAAACTACTGTGTTCAATTCAGAGCAAATCCTAATATCAACACCACCTTGTTAAATTCAGAGCTGATCTTAATATAAACACCACTGTGTTAAATTCAGAGCTGACCCTCATATAAACACCAGGTAAAATTAAGAATTAGAATACAAATTAAATTTATGATATCATCTGAGTCAATTAACTCATATTTCATAAGAGCTATACTTACTGCTGGGTTAAGTGGTGGTAGAGGTGTTTCAAACTGAGGTGTAATCAGTGTCAATGGTTCATGTTTGGTATGTAATTGTTCATAAGCTCTGAAAAAAAATTTAACAACCATAATTAAGTTTCATGATAATGTAATCACACTAGTACTTATTTAAAAGTTGTTTTTTTTTCAAATGCATATATCAATGTTATGAGTATAAAATTTCCTCCTTCATCTGATCATATGGTAGTGAAATTGGGGTCAAAACTCTAATTTGGCATTAAAACTCTAATTTGGCATTAAAATTAGAAAGATCATATCATAAGGAACATGTGTGCTAAGTTTCAATTTGATTGGACTTCAACTTCATCAAAAACTACCTTGACCAAAAACTTTAACCTGAAGCGGGACAGACAGACGAACGGACGGACAGACGAATAGATGCACAGACCGAAAAATATAATGCCCCTAGGTGGGGCATAAAAAATTCAATGGTTTTTGCAACTAAATGCACACACTTATTTCTACTAACAACCTTGACCTCATATAAGGGATGTTCCATATATAATTGTATGAATTGGGATTAGGGCACTTCAGTTTAGATTAAATGGGGATAGTTATTTTAGAAAGATGGCCTGAACAACTATTGGATATAATCAATTAAAATTTTATGCATGGCTGGGTAAAATGAAAAGTGCCATCCAACTACTCTATACATTTACAGCCCCAATGATCTGGAAACATATTAACCTGCATCAGTCTTCAATAAATGGAGCAAATATTCTAAAATGTCAATTTACTGTCACTCTTCAAGTTCTAAAAATATTTTTTTCTAGTCCACTACAGATTCAAAAAAGTTCAGGTAGCAATAAACAGTTAGGAAAAAATACTAAAATTTTCCCTCATAAATTTTACCATCCCCTTTTCATTGCCTTCTTGCAATATTAAGCTTACTGTTTGTGTCATATATGTGCATATGTATGTAATCAGAATCTTTGATAGATTTCATATCCAGTATATAAAATGGTAAAATATAATTTCTTTTTGGTGTATCCATGGCAACAATCTGCATTTTTTTGTTATAAAATATAGCAAAAAGGGGGGAAAAGATGTCACATATTTCCCCAAAATTTGGCCAAAAGTAGAATTTCAATCACTTCAAGTAATACATTTTCTGAAACTGTTTACATATATCTTTCAATAAATCCAATGAAAATCATATGTCTTTCATCTCATTTTTTTGTAAAATTGCGTCAAAAACTTCGTGTAGAAAAAAAGTGTTTGTAAACATTACATTAATTTCTGGACCGATGTTTGGTCTAGCTATGAAAATACGGAGAGTCAAACAGAAAATAGCCCATAAAACATGTAAAAAATAATCTTGATGTTCTTATAAACCACCTTTGAAGGCTAAATTAGTACTCAGCTGTCTAAAAATGAATTTTATTACACAATAACTTTCATATTTGAAAAATCCACCGGGCCAAAATGCGAAACCAAACTCCTGTGTATTGCTACCTCAGCTGGCAAAAATATGCCATTTTAGTGTACATCAAATAAAAATTAGGATAAAATAGTTGATTTGCTCCAATTATCACACTTGTCCAAGACATTGCTGATATAAACCTTTGATACAACTTTCATAAAAATCAGACAAGAAATGTAGGCCTTACAGCAATCACAATGGAAATTTCCACAGAATTTACATTCACATTGCATAACTCCATAAAAATATTGACTGGCTCTGATTGTTAACTTGTCCCACACATTGCTTCTATAAACCTTTATATTTATTACATAAAAATCTGACAAGAAATGTAAGGGTGAGATCTTTAAAAGCCTGGAAGGACAATGGCATTTCTATGTACCCCTCCCCCATACACATTGCAGTGGGGACAATAAAATAACAATGCAATATTCCTAGCTCCCCCTTCCCCAAGAACATCAAATTGTCCTTTTGAATGTTTTGAAGTTGTTGCCCCTGTCAGATTTTCTCTATATACTAAGGTTTTCAAGATATTATATCAATCTTGTCAATAAATCTTTGCTAAATATATACAGTCAGTGTATACCCCAAACAAATTGTACAATCAATCAGTTATAAAAATCAGATGGAAGGTTATCAAATTTGTCATGAGTAAATAATGAAACTGGAATACACAGACACTAAACTCTTGTTTTTGTTGTTCAACTAAATGTGAGACCATTAAATTTGGTAATTACCAACTACCTTATCAAAATCCTTCCACATCTTGTTCAAATAAGTAAATAATCTTTGATATGAACTGCAATCATTTAAGACCTCAAGTTACAAAAGTATATAATTCTGATATTGGAACTATTATTGTTTTTTGGTTGGAGCACAGAAGAGAAGATGGCTGCATTTTTTATACAGACAGATGACAAAGAACCTATATTTAATCTTCCTACGAACCAATGCATTTGTATCGTATCAAAAAACGAAACATGTTCCCTTAGTCTGTTACTGTATATTACTGCATCAATAAAATGGTTTAAACTATATATTTTTTTTATTTTTTGTACTAAAAATGTGTTAAAATTAAAATGTCCCCCAAACTGTATATGTTTTGAAGTCTAAAATTATCATTAAGTACAAATAATGGTAATCAGGGAGTTGTATACACATGTCATGCAAAGTTTACCCCCACTTGTTCCAAAATAAAATCTTGACAAGTAAATAATGAAATTCGAAGTAATGTCAAACATAAAGTGACTGTCCAGAAGATGTGAAAATTACTTACACAGAACAATATAATACAGTTCCAGACCAAATATTAAATCATATTCATATAGAAAAGCTGAGTATTATGTAATGAAAACATAAATGCTTAGTAGGGATAATAATAACCAAAGTATACTAAAACAGGAAGTGACTGCCTAAAAGATATGAAAATCCCTAACATGTTACAACTCAACATTACAAGTTTCAAACCAAGTATCAAATATTTTTTTTTTAATTCTGGAGCTGATATTATGTGAGGCAAGATTCCATGCTGAGTGGGTATAATACAAATTGATGTATTGTCAAACATAAAGTGACTGACATAAGGTCGACTGGTCCATGAGTGGAGGCATAATAATATTATATAAAAAGTTTAACATACTTACTTTATAGATTTAGGAACTAAACTTGTATCTAATTTGAATAAAGAATTATCAAACAATGCAGTAATGTCCCTTGGTACTTCATCACTCTCCTGTAGACATGTTTTTAACTTAGCTGCTAATGTAGCTATATCTGGTAACTGACTATAATCTGATATCTAAAAAAAAAAAACCACACGTTTCCTTTAAAATATGATGGATAATGATTCATGTGGACACTTAAAAATGTCATGCCAATATCATGGCTAGTTGTCAGTAACAGACTGAGTTATAAACACATGTCAGAGATGCACAAAGGTATAATATGGTTAGGATTCTGAGAAAGTTTCGATCAATTTTTATATTTCAATTAGGAGGAGATGTTAAATAAACTGTTAACACAGAGATATGTCTCGCCTTTTTGTTATTTTGCTAGTAAAATGCAAATGTTGAAATTAAAATAGCAATACTTGAACATGCAAGTTATGCAAAATATTCAAAGTCAATGAACCATGACTGAAGGTACAGGGCCAAATAATCTCCATGGAAATGAGATGTGCTAATACTAATACAACTGCAGGCCTGGGGCCATTACATTGCATTGTAATGCATTACATTACAATTACTTTGTGATTCTTCCATTACAATTACATTTTTTTCTCACATGTAATGCATTACATTACAATTACTTTGCCTGTGTAATGCATTACATTACACATTACTTTTTCAATATAAAAACATTTAAAAAACAGATTTTTATAAGAAATTTATAAATATTACCGGGGTATATGTACATATATATACAGTGCTAGTGACATAGACTTCAAATACTTGAAAAATAAATAAATAAATATTACCGGGGTATATGTACATACATATAATATATACAGTGTTAGTGACATAGACTTCAAATACTTGAAAAATAAATAAATTATCATATAATTTTGTTTCTAACATTGATCACTTAATCATTAAGACATCATAAAGGTATTTCAAAGGGATATAAAAAATGTGCAATTAAAGGATTATCTTGTTAAATGCCTAAGGGCTCTGTGAGGACAAACATAAGTTGAGAAGATTTGATTGCAATAAAAACATTTTGATATTAATTAGGTAAAATAACAACCACAGTTTGGTGTAAAAATGTTGATTGACATATTCAATCTTTCACTGAAATACATGTAAGGTGTGTATAGAATTATGAAATTTCATCTTCATATTTTGTCCATTCATCTATATAGTTTTGTTTAATAATTATTTTTAGAAGATTTTTTAAGGGCAAACTATCTATAATGATTTAATACAGTAATTAACTGTGACTATAATGTTATTTAATATTTTCTTTTGTTTTTTGTTAATATTTTATTTTTATTTTACTATATTCTTCAATTTTATGTATTTTACCAATTTGTAATGAAAAGTAATGTACAGTAATGGAGGCATTACATTGATTTTTAACTAAAGTAATCATTACATTACATGTAATTGTAATGCAGAAAATGTGCATTACATAAAAAAAATGTAATATTACAATGCATTACAATTACAAATTACCATTACCCCAGGCCTGTACAACTGCATACCAAATATCATTGACCTACCACTAGTGGTTCCCCATAAACTGACCTAATAACAAACTAATTCATGTAAACTAAGCAAAAGTTCAAAGTCAATAGATCATTACTGAGGGGGGCGGAGCCAAATAATTTTCATGGAAATGAGATGTGCCAATCCTAATACAACTGCATACCAAATATCATTGACCTACCACTAGTGGTCCTTCATAAACTGATCTAATTACAAACTAATACATTGTTGAAGACGCCACCGCTGCTGGAAACAGCATACCTATGTCTCGCTTTTTTGACTCCGTCTAGGCGAGACAACAAAGGGTACCTACAGACAAAGCAATTGAAAAGTCCTTAATTGGTTAGAGAAAACCCAAAAATAATTCAGAGCAAAACTAAAGCATTAGTTGTAAAATGTCAATTTACAATTATGATTCTGAGAAAGTTTCAGAAAAAAAATCTAGTATGGGGTTTAGGAGTAGGGTTGCCAATACAAAATGGGTACTTCATTGAAGAAAAAGTCCATGATTTGCTCAGGGAAATCCAAAAAAAATTCTTCATTTTTGTTACGAGGTTTAGGAGAAGGGTTCATAAGTTTGTACTCTAGTCATGCCAAAGAAAACACCAATAAAATGTTCTGCTGGGCGCAGCTTGATACAACCGCAGAGGTCGAACCCTGAACAGTTGGGGCAAGTATGGACACAACATTCAAGCTTGATACAGCACTGAATTTGGATTGTGATTAAATATTTGACACAGCATAGGTTTCTGACACAGAATGAATGTGGTCTAAGAACTTAAAAATTTTTAATTTACCTATTCAAACCATATCATTATTATTTGCTTTTATATATAAATCAGGAAAAACCAATTTAAAATAGAAAATTTTAAAGAAAAAAAAAAGGAAAAAAAGGAAAAAAAAATCCCTCCCCCCAAATTTCTTTAACCCCCTTATGATTCATCACCCCCAAACTCAATCCCAGCCTTCCCTTTGTGGTATGGTACCTTGCAGTACAATTTCAGACTGATCCATATACTTGAACACAAGTTATTGTCTGGAAACTAGAAAATTCTTGTTTTTAGGCCCCTTTTTGGCCCCAAATTCCTAAACATTTAAGGCAATAACCCCCAAACTCAAACCCAGCTTTCCCTTTGTGATATGGAACCTTGTAGAACAATTTCATAAAGATCTATACACTTACACACAAGTTATTGTCCTGAAACTAGAAAAATTCTTGTTTTTTGCCCCTTTTTGGCCCCTAATTCCTAAAATTTTGAGGCAATTACCCCCAAAATCAATCCCAGCCTTCCCTTTGTGGTATGGTACCTTGCAGTACAACTTAAGAGAGATCCATACACTTGAACACAAGTTATTGCCTGGAAACTAGAAAAATGCTTATTTTTGGCCCCTTATTCCTAAACATTTTGGGCAATTACCCCCAAAATCAATTCCAGCTTTCCCTTTGTGATATGGAACCTTGTAGTACAATTTCAGAAAGATCCATACACTTACACACAAGTTATTATCATGAAACTAGAAAAATGCTTGTTTTTTGCCCCTTTTTTGGCCCCTTATTCCTAAAACTTTGAGGCAATTACCCCCAAAATCAATCCCAGCCTTCCCTTTGTGATATGGAACCTTGTGGTACAATGTCAGAGAGATCCATACACTAACACACAAGTTATGTCTGGAAGTTACAAAAATGCTTATTTTTGGCCCCTTTTTGGCCCCTAATTCCTTAACTGTTGGTACCATAACCCCCAAAATCAATCCCAACCTTCCTTTTGTGGTATTGAACCTTATGGTAAAATTTCATAGAGATCCATTCACTTAAACTAAAGTTAGAGTGCAAAAACCAATTTGTCTTCGGACGACGCCAACGTCATACCAATATACGACCACAAAATTTTTTTGCGTTCGTATAAAAAGCTAACTGATGCAATAGATGGTGCAAATGTAAATATTTGAGAAAGATTCTGTGAAAGCTTTACATCATTTTGTAAAGCTGTTCATTAGCAGAAGTTGATACAAAAGTGAGACCAAAGGAGGATTGACGAATGAATTGGCTGTCACTCCCATTACTTTATATTGTTCGTTTCAAAAAGTGGATAGGAATTGGGGGAAAAAAACATCACTTCTTATAGTACTTCCCAAAGAAAATAATAATTTTTTCAATGATATAATAAGATCAGTTGGATAAAGAAAAGAACCTTTATACACCTTACAGATGGTTTAATGATACAGTACTGTCAATATGTTGTCTCTCTATCATACATTCCAAATGTTATTATAATAACACAAAGGTACTATCAAAATGTAGGAAAAAATAATTCAGGAAAATAGAATTATTTTCAAGCAAAATTACAAAATAATATTTGTACTTGATAAGAGACTATGACGTAATGTTTTATTTACAAACCTCTGGATCATCAGCATCTATAGGATTCAACCTAATATCATCTGTTGTTAAAAACCGCACTACCACATCCTTGAAATAAATAAACATACACTCAATCATATTGTCTTGATTATAACCCTATTAATATGTATTTGATCACTTTAACTAATCATCATGAGCCTCTGTGAGTTTAAATTTGTTAACTATCTTTCAGAACTTTAATTTTCAATCCAGTAAGCCCATCATTTGTCAACTACAAACTTTAAAAAATAAATCTGCTCCATATTTTAACGGTAAAATAAGGGCTTTGTTAAATATCAAACCATAAATGATATAAATTTTCCAAGTTGTAAATAATTCATACAACAATTTCTTTAAGAAAATACAACCACTCACCAATATTACTAACTAGTACCCCTGGCCCTTTACAATCATGAAACAGCCCTAAGAATAATTACTATTAGGAACTACCAATACTTTACACTCATAACAGGACAGACTCAAAATCTATGTTATCATTCCAATAAACATGTTTATTGAAGCTGTCTTAAATTAAATACCAATATTCTTGAATTTTCTTCTTTGTCTAAATACTGATCATGGAACATATGGGATGACCCAAGAACAACCATCTTTCCTCTTCCCTGAAAAATTCAATAAAAATACTGATAGTTACAAACTACGCTAGAGGAACTTGTTTTCTTCTAATAACATCTACCAATTTGTGTAACTAAAAAAACTAGAGGCTCTCAAGAGCCTGTGTCACTCAACTGATTCTACTTTGGTTTTGGAAATCATGTAAAAATTGATAAAAATCATAACAGATACCCTAATAATGATGGCCAAATTTGGTTTAATATTGGCCCCGTAATTTAATCAAAAGCAGAAGACTTTTGTAAAGTTTACAGAAATTACCAATAAATTCAATGAAATTGTAGAAAATAACTTTATAAAGACAAGTACTCCAACAAGATGTCAATTGACAATTTTGCTCATGTTGACTTATGTGTAGATCTTCTTTTCTTGATGGGGCCTCGGTGGCCGAGTGGTCTAAGTAGTTACTACTGTAATCACTAGCCAGTCAACACTGAGGTTGTGAGTTCGAACCCCGCTCGTGCGGGTGCATTTGACTCCAATCTCAATTGACTAGGATTGTCAGTTTTCCTATCGAAGGTCGGTGGTTTTCTCAGGCTTCCTCCACCAATAAAAACTGGCCGCCACGAAATAGCCCAAAAGCGGTGCTTAAAAGTGGCGTTAAAACACCAAAAATCAAATCAAATCAATCTTTTCTTGATATCTTTGCAGTTTACAGTATATATCTCAATCTATAAAGATACATGTATTAAGGTCTTCATCAGCACCTCATAAGGAACATTTATGCCATGTTTGGTTTCATTCCATTCAGTGCTCCTCTAGAAATAGCATTTGTATGTATTTCCCATAGGGTCTTATGTTAAACTAAGTGCCCTGCTGACGGCCATCTTGGATGATGGTTCGGCTACAAAGTAACAACATTTGGTCTGCACCTCATTAGGAACATTCATACCATGTTTGGTTTCATTCTATTAAGTGGTTCTCTAGAAGAAAACATTTGTATGTATTTCCCATAGGGTCCTATGTTAAACTTACTCCCCCTGCTGGCAGCCATCTTGGATGATTGATTGGCTATAAAGTAACAACACTTGGCCAGCACCTTATTAGGAACATTTATGCCATGTTTGCTTTCATTCCATTCAGTGGTTCTCTAAAAGAAAACATTTGTATGTATTTCCCATAGGGTCCTACGTTAAACTAAGTCCCCCGCTGGCGGCCATCTTGGATGATGGATCGGCTTCAAAGTACCAACACTTGGTCAGCACCTCATAGGAAACATTCATGCCATGTTTGGTTTCATTCCATTCAGTTGTTCTCTAGATGAAGTTCAAAATGTAAAAAGTTAACGACGACGACGGACGCCAAGTGATGAGAAAAGCTCAGCTAAAAATTCAAACATATAAATTCTATTAGACAAGTTAAAATAATGCTGCCATCAATAACATTTTTTTCTAAATACAACTTTCCTATTATATAAATCCCCATATATATATCACAGTTCCTTCCTTGTCAGTTTGACAAATTTTGTAATCAATCTTCACCATTCACAATTCTGACTACAGCCCTTTTCATTGTGTAATTAAGGAAGTATTTACCTTTGAAGTATAAAATGCACTAACTGGTCTGTTAAGTGGAAAAGATACACTTCCTGTAGATAGCACAGCAACAGAAGGCTTCATCACATTTAATGTGGCTCCATAAGGATAGAGGAAAGAAAGTGCCCTGAAAAAATAAAAACAAAGATAGCTTGCCATTTCAGAAACATATATGTCACAGGATTTATTCTAAAAACACCTTACAAAATGTTTATTTAGCCAATCAAAACTACTTTGTGTGGTTTCTATATCAGCACAGTGGATTCATTATTAATCAGATACCAATTTACATTAATTTCATGGGTATAGGCTAACCACAATGTTTAATATTCAACAAAGTGCAAATCATCTATACGATTGAAGTCAAAGGATAGTTCAGTTAGTATTTGATATGTTTACATTTGAGGGCTGGACAACATTATACTATAATATGTTCGTCAATGACAAACATTAAAGTGGCAGACAAATTTATATCTTTTTGAATTATGAACAAACTTCTGGACATGGAAAAAATATACCTTCCAGAATCCCGTAGTTTTTTCCCTCTAAAACTTTAATATCAGTAGAATATCAATCTAAATTTCTTTTGTCTGAAGAATTGTCTTAAAACTTACATAAATCAAATGAATGCATTTTCAATGAAGTGACAATGTAATTTATCATTATTATTATTTAAACTTACTGTGCATTATTTGAATCATCATCTGTCATGGAAAAACTTTTACCAGCAGCTTGACTAACAGCTCTACAATATGTCAAAAGTCATACTGTCATTGAAAATGAGACAAACAGTTAATGCATGTACACACCCATGTACATTTCCAGTTTGAAAAGAAAAAAAATATGATATTTGTCTGTAGTGGTAACTTTTTCATGCATATTCCGGAAAAGAACAAATTTACAAAAATTCAAATGTGAAACTCAGGAAAGTGACTTGACAAAAAGTGTGAGATTTTTCACACCTATTTGTGCCTGTACAGATTCCCTTTACCTGATATCATTCAATATAACAAGTTCCAGGTGATCTGGACAATTTGTTACTCAATGATGTCATAATTAGTTTTTGAAATTATCTACAACTTGAATTCATTGTTGATTTATTTCCAGAGAAAAGGTGACTGTTTCTTTTTTTTTTATATCAAATAAGGAGATGTGGTATGATTGCCAATGAGATAACTATCCAACAGAGTCAAAATAATGTGGATTTAAGCAAGTTGAGACAAGAATAATTAACTTTTCATCTCTAAGGGACTAGAAGGCTTCAGAACAGAAATGTTTCTGATATAACATCTACATTTGAGGACAGTAGATTATTTACTGTCTGCATTGAACTTAAACATGAAGTAGAAAATTACAATATATTGACTAATAACTTAGGGATCATAGATTTATTCTTATGAGGAAGCTCCGAGCATGCTCGGAGGATGCTCTGAGCTTTTTAAGTAGACTCTTCTCAGCAGTTTATGTGACAATAATTATTATGATCCATTAAGATGTCAATCAAATCTACACCACTTCTATAACAAGGAAAGTAAAGCATTATAGAGGAAGCTCAATTAACACCTGTGTAAACATCTGGTCTATTCAAATACATTTTGCATGAAATTTTACAAAACTATAAAATAGATTAGAAATTCTATAACAGTACTGTGTAATGCTTGGAAAGTCTACACAAAAAGTAAAAGTCATTTAAATATTTTCTTATTATTTTTAATAATCATTCCTTTTTTTATAATAAAAAAATTTCAAATTTATAATTAGATAATATGCTATATAAAAGTCACCAAGACACAAACAACAGTCAGGGGTGTTACTAAACAAGTTAGTTTTTTTAGTTACTTATAGGGTATTTTATGTTTTTAAAAATTATTTAATAACTCAATAGTTATTTTAAATGTCAAATGAAGATTTGACTAAATGTAGTTGTTAAGAATTTTTGTATCATTTCATTAAATAAAATTAAGTATTTATCCAATTTGAGATGAGTATAGAGAGGTTACTTTAAAAATAATGACAAAAATATTACTTTTATAAATTATTTTATACAAATTCAAAAAACTTAGTTCCTACAATTATTTAAGGAACATATGTAATTGTTTTTGATTAAGATTCAAATTATAAATAACTTCAAGTCTTAATTAAATCACAAGGTTCCATCTATTTATATCTGTCTATCCGTAAGATTTTAAGAGGAAATTATATTTTAATAGTCCCAAGAGGGCAATTTTTGACCAAGAAGTGTGGCATCAGAAAGGCAATTAGTGCTTGTGGAGGATTTAAATAGTTTTATATTTCATGGGGAAAATAACCAGATGTCTACGAAAATTTGTTAAAACTATTAAACCCTGTATGAATGGACACCTATAAAAATAATATTAACAAAAGTTACTTATTCATGATATAGAAGTAATATTTGAAACAGCCTTGTTTTCAAAATAACTTGTATACTAGTAGGTAATTTTGAAAATTACTTGTATAAGTAATGCCCCTAACTAAACAATGGTAATATGTTTTTTTTTAAATAGCAAACTAAGTTCTTTTATAGAAAATTATGACTACTTTAGGAAAAGTTGTAATTCATTAGTGGAAGCCTGGTTTAGGGGATAATACTACCTTTATTTTCCCTCTAGTATGTCTCTCTTTAATTCGAATTATTTTTTAATTGTGCTGATTTAGCTTTGTTTTAAATAAAGAAATACTTGGCATCAGTAAATTTATTTTTCCCCTGTAAGTCTTTGTTTAATTGGTATTTTTCAAAAAAAATGTGCAGAATTTATCTATGTTTTAAATGAAGAAACACTTCGCATGAATACAGTTTTATCCTGTCCTGTACTACAGTAAAAACATAACATAACTTTTCAGTGTATATAAGAAAGTAAACATCACCAGAAGTTAACCAATAAAATTCTCTCCCCCTTTTTTCCCTGTTTACAAGATAGAATATTTTTATTGCTTTGAAACACCCAATATACATGTTTTCGACTCAAAAAAACTTTTCTGCAATGAAATAGAGGGTTTATTTCCAACAACTATCAAATTAAACTAGAGGCTCTCAAGAGCCTGTGTCGCTCACCTGATTCTACTTTGGTTTTGGAAATCATGTTAAAATTGATTAAAATCATAACAGATACCCTAATAATGAGTGAGGCCAAATTTGGTCTAATATTGGCCCTGTAATTTAATAAAAAATCCTGGTGGCCATCTTGAACAGTAAATCAGCAACAAAGTAGCAACACTTCATCAGCACCTCATAAGAAACATTTATGCCATGTTTGGTTTCATTCCATTCAGTGCACTTCTAGAAGAAGCATTTGTATGTATTTCCAATAGGGTCTTATGTTAAAGGAAGTCCCCCGCTGGCGGTCATCGTGGATGAAGGATCAGCTTCAAAGTAACAACACTTGGTCAGCACCTCATAAGGAACATTCATGCCATGTTTGGTTTCATTCCATTAACTGGTTCTCTAAAAGAAGACATTTGTATGTATTTCCCATAGGGTCCTATGTTAAACTAAGTCCCCCGCTGGTGGCCATCTTGGATGATGGACCGACTGCAAAGTAACAACACTTGGTCAGCACCTCATAAGGAACATTCATGCCATGTTTTGTTTCATTCCATTCAGTGGTTCTCTAAAAGAAGACATTTGTATGTATTTCCCATAGGGTCCTATGTTAAACTGAGTCCCCCACTGGCGGCTATCTTGGATGATGGACCGACTGCAAAGTAACAACACTTGGTCAGCACCTCATATGGAACATTCATGCCATGTTTGGTTTCATTCCATTCACTGGTTCTCTAAAAGAAGACATTTGTATGTATTTCCCATAGGGTCCTATGTTAAACTAAGTCCCCCGCTGGCGGACATCTTGGATGATGGATCGGCTTCAAAGTAACAACACTTGGTCAGCATCTCATAAGGAACATTCATGCCATGTTTGGTTTCATTCCATTCAGTGGTTCTCTAGAAGATGTTCAAAATGTAACAAGTTAACGACGATGACGACGGACGACGGACGCCAAGTGATGAGAAAAGCTCACTTGGCCCTTTGGGCCAGGTGAGCAAACTAGAGGCTCTCAAGAGCCTGTGTCACTCACCTGTATTTACTGATGCTTTGGAAATCATGTAAAATAAGGTTAAAATCATAATTAATAGTATTAGATATTAGATATTATAATGATATCTAAGATAATAACAAAAAACTGCAAAATTTCTGTAAAATTACTAACTCAGGGGCAGCAACCCAACAACAGGTTGTCGGATTCGTCTGAAAATTTCAGGGCAGATAAATCTAAACCTGATGAACATTTTTGCCACCTGTCAGATTTGCTCTAAATGCTTTAGTTTCAGAGATATAAACCAAAAACTGCATTTTACCCCTATGTTCTATTTTTAACCATTTCAGCCATGATGGTTGGAAGGCGGGGTCATCGGACCAATTTTTTTTACTAGATACCCTAATAATGATTATGGCCAAGTATGGTTAAATTTGTCTCAGTAGTTTCAGAGGAGAAGATTTTTGTAAAAGATTACAAAAATTTACGAAAAATTGTTAAAAATTGACTATAAAGGGCAATAACTCCTAAAGGGGTTGACTGACAATTTTGGTCATGATGACTTATTTGTAGATCTTACTTTGCTGAACATTATTGCTGTTTACAGTTTATCTCTATCTATAATAATATTCAAGATAATAACCAAAAACTGCAAAATTTCCTTAAAATTACCAATTCAGGGGCATCAACCCAACAACGGGTTTTCAAATTTGTCTGAAAATTTCAGGGCAGATAGATCTTGACTTGATATTCAGTTTTACCCTCTGTTAGATTTACTCTAAATGCTTTGGTTTCAGAGATATAAGCCAAAATCTACATTTTACCCCTATGTTCTATTTTTAGCCATGGTGGCCATCTTGGTTGGTTCGCCGGGTCACCGGACACATTTTTTAAACTAGATACCCCAATGATGATGATTGGCCCAGTAGTTTCAGAGGAGAAGATTTTTGTAAAAGTTATCAGACGACGGACGCCAAGTGATGAGAAAAGCTCACTTGTTGGCCCTTTGGGCCAGGTGAGCTAAAAAAAAGATCAACCCTTTTTCGCATGAAACTGAATGTACTATGTTTTGGTAGTATGGATATAAATCAATAACTATTGTTTGTGTCTTTGATGACTTTTATATTTCATGTTATATAGTATAAGTTTAAAATAAATTTATATTTTAAATATAAAATTTGAGTATTTTTTTGTATCATGTGTATTGAAAAAGAATGATAATTATTAAGAAAATGTTTTTAAAACATTTTCTTTCTGTGAAGACTTGATACTTCTTTCAAAGCATTGTGCAGTAATATTGAAGAATTTCTCATCTATTTTATAGTTTTGTAAAATTAATGCAAGATTTGTTTGAATAGACCATATGTTTACACAGGTGTTAACCGAGCTTCCTCTATAATGCTCTACTTTCCTTATTATAGAAGTGCTATAGATTTGATTGACATCTTAATGGATCATGATAATTATTGTCACATATACTGCTGAGAAGAGCCTACTTAAAAAGCTCCGAGCATCCTCCGAGCATGCTCGGAGCTTCCTCGTAAGAATAAATCTATGATCCCTTACCTGTTCAATACACCATTAGCTATTAAAGCTTCTTTTGGATGAAAGAACTTGTAATAGGAAGTCCTGACAACAGCATCTTAAAAAAATCAAAGCTTCATTAAAGGTACAAAAATGTGCAGTTACTTAAAAAGGTTTTTAAAATAATTGTCTTTTTTGTTTGCTGTCCCATTACTTAAATATATATTGCATGTTTCTTTTTGTTATCTTTTGTTATTGGGTTGCTGGTTCATTTATTCATACTATAGACTCATTCACAAACAGTCAAAACCTATTTTGAATGTAACCTCTATACAGGTACCTGTTATTTCTATTTAGATTGTTTTCTCAATATACTTACTGCTATTGTAGCAAATTAAAATATTTTTAAAGTTGTTTCAATAATTAGAACGTAAATGTTTAAACCTTCAACTATTTAGCAGGTCATTAAATTAGTTCTCTTGTCAGTCCCTAACTAGTTCTACAAATAACCTGGATGCAACATATGATTAACTTAATGCATTTCTACATGATCACATTTTTGTGTGGGTATTTAATTGGACTTTGGTATGATAAAGGATAGACATAAACACCCATAACTTACTATGATTAACAAGAAAATGAGAGAAACCATTATTCACAAATATACCATATTCTTCCAACAGTAAATTAAGGTTAGAGAGAAACCTACCATTATTCACAAATATACCATATTCTTCCAACAGAAAATTAAGGTTAGAGAGAAACCTACCATTATTCACAAATATACCATATTCTTCCAACAGAAAATTAAGGTTAGAGAGAAACCTACCATTATTCACAAATATACCATATTCTTCCAACAGAAAATTAAGGTTAGAGAGAAACCTACCATTATTCACAAATATACCATATTCTTCCAACAGAAAATTAAAGTTAGAGGGAAACCTACCATTATTCACAAATATACCATATTCTTCCAACAAAAAATTAAGGTTTGTTTCAAATCTGGACTCTCCTCCTTCACCCAACATAACTAACAAACTTCCACCAGTTTCCATGTATGTTTTAATGGCACTAAACTACAAAAAGAAAATAAATAAATAAATTCTACATTTAAACAATTAAAATCACACAAACTAAATGACCTATGCAATTAATTTTATAATGTTAATTACTGTGACAATAGGTGTTTTTGTTATGTAAAAATATTTATGACGTGAATTTTTTTGGAATTTTCGGCAAAACTGCCTTATACATTGAACTACAAAAAATGTATATATATATATATGTTTTCAATTTAGACTTGTTTATATATATATATATATATATATATATATATATATATATATATATATATATATATATATATATATATATATATCATGTATATAATTTCCAATAGTAGTACTTTTTTCTATTGTTCTAGCATCATGATCATCTCTATGATTAAATACCACAATATTACAATGATGTGTATAAATGATGCTGTAACAATCTAAGTAAAAATATGTTTACCTATTCTAAAGTAACAACTTATAAACTAGCAAGTAAAACACCAATTTAAAATCATTTTTGCCACTATATTGAACAAATCAGGAACAACAAAATTCATGGAATGCCAAAATAAGAAATTCTCTGTTCTATGTTCGGAACTAATGGCAAACGAATTATTTCTTTATATCACACATTCGTATGACGGTAGTGTGTATATTTTCTTCAACTGGTGTAACCATGGCATTGCTATAATTGTAAATGAAATTTGAAGTATGATGAATAACTTTGCTCAGTCCTATAACAAAACATTATAGTTACTCACAGTAAGAATCATTTGGATGAAAGAAGATTGAGTAACCCAAAACATCATTTCTTGTTTTAAGTTTTAACAAAATACCTCTGCACCAGTAAATTTTTCTCTTGATCCACATAAGGCAAATATACTGGCATTGGACAATCTATCTAATGTGATTTCTTCTTTATTGCTGAAATATGAAATGATAATATACAATACAATTCTTAAGTATTTTGAATAGCAGTTCAAATAAATCAATGTTCCCAAAATCTTAAATTCAGTCAAAGAATGTTCCTGGTTAATAACATGCAACTTTTAACCTATTATTTTCCCAAAAATAGTTAGGTCTTCAAAAGTTGAGAACACCTGAATTCACCCTTGGTGAGCAGTCTAAAGTTTTGAGTGTTGTGTTTTGTGAACTGTTGATTGTCTTCTGGTTTACATTTTTTGCCATGGCCTTGTCAGTTTGACATCGACTTATATAAGTTTAAATATCCATTTGCATATGTATAAACTATGAAAAAAAGTAAGGAAAGTAATTAGAATTGGCCATGGTGTAACAAATTTTTTGTAAAAATTAAGTTAAAAATGTCCTTCTTTTATGCCTTTTTTAAAGCTCAAACATATATACATTAGATGGTAAGTTGTGTTTAATTACAGTACACTACATACTTTTGACCAAAGCTTTCAATAGAAACCGGTAGCCAGCGGTTTTCTCCATCTATAGCACAAAAATCAGCCAGCTACTTTGCCCCCAAAGTATATTGTTGAAGAACACAAAATAAACTGCTTCACCAAGCGCAGCTGGATACGACCGCAGAGGTCTAACCCTGAACAGTTGGGGCAAAAAAGGACACAATATTCAAGCTTGATACAGGTCTGAATTTTGATTATAATTAAGTATTTGACACATTATAGGTTTCTGACACAGAATAAATGTAGTCAAAGAACTTGAAATTGGTTATATGATTTGAATTTATATTCAATTGAAGATTTCTTGCTGTTGTGCAATACACTGTGCTGTTGCGCAATACTTAGTAAATCTGTTTTCAGACTATATACAAAGATTTAGCAAAATAAATTGTGACCCCCCATTTTTCTTTGAAAAATTGACAATTTCTTAAATCTTGAGGAAAAAAAAATTGCCCCCCCCCCCCCCCCCCAACAAATTTTTTTTTTTCCCCCTTCCAAAAAAAAATAATATGAAGAAATTTTCTTTTTGTAATATGTGGTACAATTTAAGAGACATCCATACACTTAAACACAAGTTATTGTCTGAAAACTAGAAAAATGCCTTTTTAAGACTCTTTTAGGCCCCTAATTCCTGAACGGTTCGGGCAATTACCCAAGAAATGAATCCCAACCTTCTACTTGTGGTATTGAATCTTGTGGTACATTTTCAGAGCAAGCAAAATACCTATACACAAGTTATTGTCCTGAAACTGGAAAAATGCTTGTTTTGGGCCCCTTTTTGGCCCCTAATTCCTAAGCGGTTGGGACCATCACCCCCAAAAAAACCTCAACCTTCTTTTTGTGGTATTGAACCTTTTGCTTAAATTTCATAGAGATCCATACACTTAAACTAAAGTTATTGTTCGGAAACCAAATGTCTTCGGACGCCGATGACACAGCTGCCGACAACGTGATAGCAATATACGACCGCAAAAAATATAAAAATGTTTTAGAGAGAGATCGATACGTTGACAATACATGTAGTTCTATTTTTAACCTTGTCCTGTTTTAAATTAAACTTCCTTGTTGTGTTTTCGTATATGTGCGAATAGGATCGCTGTCAGTCTCTTTGTTAAGAGTGTTGTCATTCCAAATATTGTTCCTAAGACGATACCTGATTGGCCGACCGACAAGTCCTTTATTTAACTGGACTATGATTGGTTCGCTTATTTTAGCATATCATGGCAAAACATCAACAATGCGACATTACCCATTGGGTACAAAAAGTACAGAAACAAGGTCACTAATAAACTAGAGGCTCTAAAGAGCCTGTGTCGCTCACCTTGGTCTATGTGCATATTAAACAAAGGACACAGATGGATTCATGACAAAATTGTGTTTTGGTGATGGTGATGTGTTTGTAGATCTTACTTTACTGAACATTCTTGCTCCTTACTATTATCTCTATCTGTAATGAACTTGGCCCAGTAGTTACAGTGGAAAATATTTTGTAAAAATTTACAAAAATTTACAAAATTTATGAAAATTGTAAAAACTTGACTATAAAGGGCAATAACTCCTTAAGGGGTCAATTGACAATTTTGGTCATGTTGACTTATTTGTAGATCTAACTTTGCTGTACATTATTGCTGTTTACAGTTTATCTCTATCTATAATAATATTTAAGATAATAACCAAAAGCTGCAAAATTTTCTTAAAATTACCAATTCAGGGGCAGCAACCCAACAACGTGTTGCCTGATTGGTCTGAAAATTTCAGGGCAGATAGATCTTGACCTAATGAACAATTTTATCCTCATCAGATTTGCTCTAAATGCTTTGGTTTTAGAGATATAAGCCAAAATCTACATTTTACCCCTATGTTCTATTTTTAGCCATGGCGGTCATCTTGGTTGGTTGGCCGGGTCACCGGACACATTTTTTAGACTAGATACCCCAATGATGATTGTGGCCAAGTTTGGTCAAATTTGGCCCAGTAGTTTCAGAGGAGAAGATTTTTGTAAAAGTTAATGACGACGGACAACGAAATCAACGGACGAAGAACGCCAAGTGATGATAAAAGCTCACTTGGCCCTTTGGGCCAGGTGAGCTAAATACTGGATGACAACTGATTAAATGAATTTCATTGATTGTAAGGTATATCTTTCTCATAATGTAGATCGATTTTCTAATCCTAATTTTACAGTTAAATGTGCTGACTGTCCCTTCCATTCTATCGTTAAAAATCATAGTTTACACTTGTATTCAGCAGCGACATATAATAAATTGTATAAAAAAATGTGTATAAACAAATACATAGAGGAATTAATATTGACACATTAATGAGTAACCCATAACAATATACCCTATGGGTAGTGCTCCACAATTAATGGAGGAACATACAAGTAACTGAACTGTAACTGTTTTTTAATATTTGATGTATGTCATGTGTAAGTACTTGTGCTCTTTCTTTACTTGCTATGAGAACTACTTTTTAAAGCATACCAAACAAGGATCCAGGTTTTAATGCCCTGCATCATATGGCTTGTAAACTCTATTCTAAATGTTGAAAGAATTTGTTTTAAATAAATGGGGAATGTGTCCATGGGACGAAGATGATATCCTGCTTGCATTCAATGTTATAAAGGAACATAACTCAAGAACAGTAAAAATGACGCTACCCAAATTCATACTTGATCTGAGTTTTGTGGTAATAAGCATTGTGAATAAGTTTCGTAACATTTGATTGATGCAAACTCAAGTTAGAGAACGGAAACTAAAAATGCAGCAATTTTTCCATTTGTAAAGAGGCATAATTCTAGAACGGTAAAAGTGACGCCAACAAAATTCAAACTTGATCTGTGTATTGTGGTAATAAGCATTGTGTATAAGATTCATAACGTTTAGTTGAGGCAAACTAAAGTTAGAGAATGGAAACAAAAATTTGTAAATGGGCATAACTCTAGAATGGTAAAAGTAACGCCTCTGCTATGGTGGGGGCATAAAAATCTTTTTTTAGACAGTCCCATCTTGGTTTGTAATAACAGAAAATTTCTAAAAGCTTTGTTACAAAAATTGATTGCTTCACAAAAGATTCCAAGAGGCAGTAAATGAACAATAGACACTAGCTTGGTATACTTCAAAATTTTAAAATGGTAATGTTAACCAAAATTCATTAAAAAATGAAAACTTCACACAAAAAAAATGGCAATCTGAAAGTTGTAATTATGTGCCAGGAGACTGTCAGAATGCAAGATTTTGCTTAAAAAACCCAGAGCCCCCAGACCCGCCGTTGTAAAAGGTGGTGAGCAAGCTCCCCGCAGAGGACGGCTATGCTGTCCGCATTGATGGGTTGGCTCCTTTTGGGTTTCAGCCTCCAACTTCAAATAATATTAAAAGTCCTGCATGCAACTTCTTAAATTTAAAATATTTGAAAAATTTGCTTTGAAATTGAAAATTCTCAAACTTTGGACACCAGAATAACAACTTAATAATGAAAAAATGGAAATGAAAATTACCATCCTACAATCATTCATATAATTGGACATCCTAAGAGAGAGTTTGACAAATTGTGTACCAATGTTTGAACAGAGAAATGCCCCCTAAAACAGCCATTTACAGATAAAACTTTCAAGACAAGGAAATTGAAAAAAAAAATTAAGTTGCATGTCCTTTCATCTATGTGTTCCAGGCAAATATAAAAAAAAGTAAAATCAATGTTTTATATTGCTTATATTGAAGACCTTCCATTTTTGTTTTAAAATACATGATAAATTATAGCAGCCAGAAGTTTTAAAGACAATATCCTTTACCAAATGTTTACACAGAGAACTACAGTATATGTAGTTTAAGTTGACCATGCATGCTTACCTAATCAGAAATCTGACAATCTAATGTATGTCAAGTACATGTATCAGCGATCTCCCCAGGCCGTTTTAGCGTCATGGCACTGTGACGCTATAATTTTTTTCCGTGACGCTATAATAATTTCCGCGACGCTATAATTATTTTGAGGATGCTATTTTTTCTTGTCTCTATACATTGCCGCAAAATCAATGTCCTAATTTTTGAACTTTCATCTAACAGTATGTCTGTTAAGATTTTTTTTTAAAATGTGTCAATAAATTTTACTGAAAAATTGAAAATACATGCATGACATGTGAAGTTAATCGTTAATTATATTTTAAAATGAACATGTATTTCATAATGAAGTGCTGTGTATGTATTGTTTACTTACTTCATAATTTTCCATTGTGATCTTAATTTCCTGTTCAACGACTTCAATCCATTGTTTGGAGTGAAAAGTTCACTTTTTGAGGCATTGAATATTATAGTATTTCTTTGCTGTTTGTCCTCCATAGTCTAAAATACAATATGAGATATATTTTTCTAACAGGTTTAAAATACATTAGTACATGTATTTACTAAGATTAGTAATCAGTAGACATCATTGGTATTAGAACAATTGCAAGTCTCCTTGTGTGTATCACTTCTCCAATGTGCAATAGCAGGAACCTTTAAACATGACATGCTTAACACAAGAAACACCTCAGTAATGCAGCACTAAATTTTAATAATGGTTAAATCTTATCTGTTTAAACATGTTAAAGGGGCATAAGCTACAAAGTTGACCAAAAATCAAATTTTTGTTTTGTTTCAAACATTTATAAAAGCATAATCATGAAATAATGTTTCGATGTTAGCAATAGCAGTTTTTGTTCAATTTTGTTAAAATAAGCTCAAAAACATTGATAATGTTTTTTTGGCTTTCAAGTCAATAATTCAACTCATTTTAATCCATATTTATGCAAACTTCAATATAACCCTTAACTGTGATGGGCTTCACATGGACTAAGCATGTTTAGTTATTCAAACTAAAAGAATGTCAACATTGAACAGTGAAACAAGGCAGCTACTGGGAAGATCCCTTTTATTGACTGATTTTGCCCACAAAAAGTTAATCAAATACAGGCAAGACAGGTAAAACAATGATTTACATATTTCTTCTTATATCTATGACATGAAATCAAACAGATTTAGAAATTTTGTTATTATACGATTGCATGAGCTTGCCTGTGTATTTATACGTTATATGTATGTTTACATTAGGTCATATGACCTACAGAAGTCTCTGGACCATGTCCTAGGGGGCAGGGCCTCAAAACAGTTGTCAAACTGATGTGTACTGATAGTAATGTGACTTCTTACAAAATATCATTCACCTATCACAAGTAGATCCTATCAAACTAACTTGAGCAGAAAATTGCTTATTAATTCAAAGTCACTGGACCATGTACATGTCCTAGGGGACAGGGCCTTGAAATAGTCGTCAAACTGATATGTACTGATAGTAAAGCAACTTCATAGTAAATATCAATGATCTATCACAAGTAGTTCCTATCAAACTAACTTAAGCAGAAGACTTAACAATTGTTGATGCCGGAGTCAGAGCCGTCATTGCCAGAAAAGCAATCCCTATGTCCTGCTAGCGAACTTTCGTCGCAGGTGAGACAAAAAAATTGGTAAAAAATAAATCATTAAAGGGCAATAACTCTAATAAGGAATTGTCTGATGATTTTAGTTGTGTTGACTTATTTGTAGATCTTGTCTTGCTGGTTATTTGCTATTCAAAGTTTCTGTCTATCTATTACAATTTTCGAGATAATAGACAAACATTTTTTAAAAATAGTAGAATTTTCTCTATTTATAGCGGTATTCAAAATAATAGGCAAAACTTGCATTTTGCCCCTATGTTCTTTTTTTAACCATGTCGGCCATCTTGGATGGCAGACAGGGTCATCGGATACATTTTAAAAACTTATTATCCCACTGATGATTGTGGCCAAGTTTGGTTAAATTAATATTTGGTCCAGTAGTTTCAAGGGAGAAGATTTTTGTAAAAGTTAACAGACAACGACGGACGCCAAGTGATAAGAAAAGCTCACTTCAATGACTTGGCCTTGTGGGCCAGGTGAGCTAAAAATGAAAGTTTGGGTCAATTCGGTGAACAAAAATTTGACAGCTAATGCCTCTTTTAGGTTGGCACAAGGATTTCCCAAAACTCCCAAAAATTCAATATGAATCCGAGAATCGTTAGTTATTACAAGAAAACTTTACTGTATATGGAGTAATACTGCTTTTATAGTTAATAGAGTCTATAATTTTGAGATGTATGTAATTTTACTCAATAAAAGTACAATATAATTTCATAAATTAGTTTTATGTGTCTTTTATGCCAGTTTCCATCTGGACTCTGGCGGACGTAATTATTCAAACTTGATCGCAGACTACCCATGCCTTGTTCAGGGTTCCTTTGTTGTTTTAACTATTCCTTTTTAAAATAAATAACTTCATTGTTTAAAATTTAAATTTATAACATATAGATATTGATAATAGTGATCTACGAATCGAATAATTACATTGACCATATTGTTATACGAAGAACTTGCATACAACTTACAAGACACACAATTGTACTTTTATTAATTAAAAATGACAAATATCTAGCCACAATTAATAAAATGCTTCGCAGGGCGCAGCTTGATACGACCGCAGAGGTCAAACCCTGAACAGTTGGGGCAAGTATGGACACAACATTCAAGCTTGATACAGCTCTGAATTTGGATTGTGATTAAATATTTGACACAGCATAGGTTTCTGACACAGAATGAATGTGGTCTAAGAACTTAAAATTTTTAAATTGGACATTCACCTATTATGGTCCAATATCCAAAATCTAAATACATGGTTAGATTCAGCATATCAAAGAACCCCAAGAATTCAATTTTTGATGAAATCAAACAAAGTTTAATTTTGGACCCTTTTGACCTCAATGTGGACAAAGTTGATAACGGGGCCCAAAAATCAAAAATCTAAATACATGGTTAGATTCAGCATATCAAAGAACCCCATATATTCAATTTTTGTTGAAATCAAACAAAGTTTAATTTTGGACCCCGATTTGGACCAACTTGAAAACTGGGCCCATAATAAAAAAATAAAATACATGTTTAGATTCAGCATATCAAAGAACCCTAAAAATTCAATTTTTGCTAAAATCAAACTACCGGTAAGTTTAATTTTGGACCCTTTGGACCTTAATGTAGACCAATTTGAAAACGGAACCAAAAATTAAGAATCTAAATACACGGTTAGATTCGGCATATCAAAGAACCCCAATAATTCAATTTTTGATGAAATCAAACAAAGTTAAATTTTGGACCCTTTGGACCTCAATGTGGACCAATTTAAAAACGGGGCCCAAAATCAAAAAACTTAATACACAGTTAGATTCAGCATATTAAAGAACCCCAAGAATTCAAGAATAAAACCCCATTGAAATTGATCAAGAAATAAGCAATTTATACGAAGTATCTTCTTTTGCACAATACTGTGCAATTGAATATTTCTTGCTATTGTGCAATACTGTACAATTGACAATTTCTTGCTATTGCGCAATATTGTGCTATTGGATATTTCTTGCTATTGCGCAATACTGTGCAATTGAAGATTTCTTGCTATTGCGCAATACTGTGCAATTGAAGATTTCTTGCTATTGTGCAATACTGTGCAATTGAAAATTTCTTGCTATTGCACAATACTTATTATATAATAATTTACACATCCTGTTTGGTGTGTATCTCCTACCATATCATTATTATTTGCTTTTAAATATTAATCAGAAATAACCAACTTAAAATGGAAAATTTTAAAAGAAATAAAAAAGGAAAAAAAGAAAAAAAAAGAAAAAAAAAAAATCCCCCCCAAATTTTTTGAACCCCCTTATGATTCATCACCCCCAAACTCAATCCCAGCCTTCCCTTTGTGGTATGGTACCTTGCAGTACAATTTCAGAGAGATCCATACACTTGAACACAAGTTATTGTCTGGAAACTAGAAAAATGCTTATTTTTGGCCCCTTTTTGGCCCCCAATTCCTAAACGTTTTGGGCAATTACCCCCAAACTCAATTCCAGGTTCCCTTTGTGATATGGAACCTTGTAGTACAATTTCAGAAATATCCAAACACTTACACACAAGTTATTGTCATGAAACTAGAAAAATGCTTGTTTTTTGCCCCTTTTTTGGCCCCTAATTCCTAAAATTTTGAGGCAATTACCCCCAAAATCAATTACAGCCTTCCCTTTGTGATATGGAACCTTGTGGTACAATGTCAGAGAGATCCATATACTTACACACAAGTTATTGTCTGGAAGTTACAAAAATGCTTATTTTTGGCCCCTTTTTGGCCCCTAATTCCTTAACTGTTGGTACCATAACCCCCAAAATCAATCCCAACCTTCCTTTCGTGGTATTGAACCTTATGGTAAAATTTCATGGAGATCCATTCACTTAAACTAAAGTTAGAGTGTGAAAACCAATGTGTCTTCGGACCACGCCGGACGACGCCAGACGACGACGCCAACGTCATACCAATATACGACCAAATACGTATAAAAATAAAAGCAGCTTTAAACCATAAATAATCGAGTTTTTGGTTAATATCTAATGGTTCTCAGGTTCATATAGTTTTTGGGAGTTCTCTGGAAATTGTTGTTCCCCTTTCTAATAGGTCATGAACTGAAGGTTTAAAATAAGTCTTAATGAGAAAATGTTGTCATTAAAATGAATGTTGTGACATGAAATGATAATGAATTACAAAATACAATATGTTATCACTGTAAATTGATTTGGGGTCTAATAGTAATACACTAATACCTATAAATAGGAGTAGTATCCCGTAATGATGGTAAGTTGTGCACTTAAGGACATTTTTTATTTTATTTTTCTGTAGACTTAGCTTTGTTTTTTTATTACTGTGTATTGTCAAGTTTGTTTACTCATAATTGATTCTCAGTCACTGAATGTACGATGTTGTTCCATACTGAAGCAGCTGACCCGGTTTGTTTACATTCAAATTCTAATGGCGTCAAAATCATGTGACACATTGAATCGATATATCCAATCAAATTGCTCTCTTGTCAATTTTGATTTTTTAGTATAAAGCAATTATATTATTTGTTTGTATGATAATGCTTTGAAATAGTTTGAAATAAATTGGGGATTTATTCAATAGGAAACCTCATTATTAGCCATGAAATTTGACGTCAATGGAATTTTATAAGAATATTTACTTATGGTCAGAATATCGATCTCTTTACATGTATATTGAACCAATTTTTTTTTTATGAAATACATACATGTATGTATATTGTTTTCTATTAACCTACTCTATATTCCTGAACAAAAAAATGGCATGAATATCGTTTGTTTCCCAAAGTTTTTCTTTCATTTTGGATACTTTTTTCGCGGGAAAATCGCATAAAGACGTAAGGTACTTGTCATTTTGAAATTCTTTGAAATACCATTGGCTTGGCCTGTTTGGTCTGCCATTAAGATTGATGACGCTTAATTGAATGTAAACAAAGCAATGGAGGCTGGAAGAGGGATTTTCTGAAGTGTTGGAATGTTTTTAGGCATTCGGAAGTCAGGTTTGAAACGACCATTAGAAAATTAGCATTTTTGTACAATACTTTAGAATAACAATGAAAACTTATCTTTAGAAATGTTTTTTTATTAATAAAAGAGTAGAAAAAACGTATTCTGCACTTATTTTGTACGCTGATGCTGTTATCAGCGTAGTAACGTCAATGCAGAGTTTTCCTGTGTGATAAGTACAATAACAAAGTCCGAACGAACCGACATGATGACCGATTATAGACTACGGTAGGATACCCAGTTATGAGGATCTTCCAAACATGTTAAAATTTTTAAATACTTTTTACTATTAATAGTGCCAACTGAAATACCAAGGAATACAATACAATACACTTTAATTGTTGTATCAGTAGTAGAAACTCAAATCTATTATTTTTAGATTTCAGTAAGGCTTTTGACCTTATTAACCATGCCATACTTTTAGAAAAGTTAAAATTTTATCATATCGGAGAACATTCGATAGATTGGATAAAATCATATTTGTCTGAGAGACAACAAGAAGTTCAATACGCTAACATTAAATCTGATAAATCGTTTGTAAAATATAGAGTGCCTCAAGGTTCTATTTTAGGTCCTCTGTTATTTTTAATTTATATAAATGATTTACCACTTTATGTTAAACAATCCGACATGGATTTATATGCTGATGATTCAACATTGCATTTTCATAATAAAAACATTGAAAAAATAAACAGCATATTGCAAAATGATTTAAATGCTATACAATCTTGGTGTAACAATAACAGTATGAAAATAAATGCACAAAAAACAAAGTGTATGAAATTGGGTTCAAAACAAAAACTTACACAACTATCAGAATTATGTATTACCGTCAATGAAACATGTATTGAAAATGTCCATTCTTTCAAATTACTTGGAATTGACATTGATGAAAATTTAAGCTGGGAGGATCATGTTGATCGTATATGCAAGATTACCTCATCTAAAATATCACTTTTGTTTAAAATTAAAGTATATTTGCCTATACACACAAGACAACTATTTTATAATGCATATATTCTACCATATATAGACTATTGTAGTTCAGTTTGGGGAAATTTATTACAAAAAGATTCAGATAGAATCATAAAACTTCAAAAAAGAGTAGCAAGAATTATACTTAAATGCGATATTTCTGTTCCATCTAATTTTATGTTTTCATCTTTAAAATGGCTATCTTTTACAGAAAGAATAAAATACCAACAATCAATTCTAATGTATAAAATTGTAAATGGACTAACACCTGATTACTTAACAATGCTAAATATTAATGATGTGCAACACCACAACTTACGATCTGTCTCTAATAATGATCTATTTGTTCCAAGACCAAACACAAATTTTTATAAAAAATCTTTTCATTATTCTGCAACAAAGGTATGGAATAATTTACCACTCAAAATAAAAAATTGTCGAAATGTGGAATTATTTAAGAAACATTGTTATAATCATTTTCTTGAAAATTCTATGCAAGTTGAATAATTTGTTTTCTTTCTTTTATTGTATGAATAAGAAAAACTAATCAAAACTTTACCAATTATTACCATTTATTGCCATTTGTATGTTTGAATGATTGAATTGTGTATATACTAGTAATATATATTGTATTTTAATGTATCGTACATTGTATGAATCGAATGCATGAATGTTAACTGTTTACATGTATTTTGTTTGAGGGCCTCAATGAAAATTAGACTACTTCTAATTGAGTTACCCTCTTTAAATAAAGAATTTATTATTATTATTATTATTATTATAAATCCATAGTTAAGTTACACATCAACCCTTAATATTCAACGTTTGAATGTCCATGACAACATCTTCTGGGTCATTTAATTTCTGCATAAGATTATATCAGTAACAGGTAGACGATAGATTTATGTTAAAATACCTTATGTTCAAAATTAAATTCCTTTACACTGTCAAAATTTTGTCAATACAATGAAAATTCCACAAAAGTCAACAATAATTGGAGTTTACCTCAGCAGTCGGCGCCATGTCTAAACTATTTACGCTAGGCATTCTGGGATTTTGTTTCGGGTCTCACTATATTAGAGACAAGAAGCGTCAAAAAGCGACAAGAAAACCAATTAAGCGTATAAAAATTCAAGTAAATAAACATGCATTAAAGTGATTTTCAATATTTCATCTTACTGACATTTGTTCGAGAAAATAGGGAATGTTGAGTTTGTTTTTTTACTCATGTGTTAATTCTGGGAACAGTATATATAAAAAATATGTTCATCGGCCTGGTTGATTATAGGAAAAATCTGGGACTATTATACTAATAGTTAGTATAATAGTCACAGTAAAAATATATACGCCAAAACAAATACCTTACATGAACAAACAGCATAAATCTGCAGTATACACAAAGAAAATGGTTCACAACAAATTTAAACAAAATTAATACCAGCAGAGACATATAATACAATGTCTCTGATACCAGCAAGACCTGGCAACCATATAGACACAAAGAAATCATGTAACAAAACTTAAAAAACAGTCCAAAATAAATCCTTCCTAGAGTCCCAAGTCGAAAGATTTTTGGCCATTTCTAACAAACAAAAGTTGCACCAGTCAAAAAGAAACCATATTCCTGGAAGAAAGAAAAATCACAACATACCAACAATATATAATTATCTGAGATTGACGACTTTTTTGTCAATGTAGCCAAAAATATTGGTGACAATAGCATACGGGTTAACGAAAAACATCCAAGTATAAAAGCCATTACACAAAAATACGCAAGGTCAACATCAAATGAACTTATTTTGTAGCCTGTAGATGAAAACTTTGTATCTTGAGTATAAGTGAAATAAATGTAAAAAAAAAGGCGACGGGTATAGGCGGTTTATCGCCAAAACTACTACAATATGCTAAACCTGTTGTGGTAAACCTATCACTGAACTTGTAAATTTGTCATTATCCTCTTCTTCTTTCCAGACTCATTGAAAATTGATCAAGTGGCGCCAATCCACAAAAAATGGTGTTCTTGAAAAGGTGAATTATAGACCCGTTAGTGTTCTACCTTCTTTATCAACATTTTTTGAAACAGCCATAGAAAATCAACTTTCTAAATACTTTGATGATATTTTTCACCATTTCCTTGCAGCTTTTCGATCAGGCTATGGCTGTCAGTCAACCCTATTAATTTATTTTAAAAGACTGGAAAAAGGCACTGGATAATGATAAACATTTAGCAGCATGGATCTCATCTAACAAAATGCAGGCAGTCCCAGAAAAATTCCAGGCAATTGCAATTGGTAAAAAAAAACCTCCACAAAATACAGTCTTCAACTTAAACGGCATCAGTATTCAGTGTGATTCATTTTACATCATAATTATACTGATGAAGTATATCTGTTATCCGAAATATTTATACATACTTACATTTAATGTTTCCTTTTTTTAATCATTGGTGTTGTTTTGTACACTTTTTAGGCGTTTATATATATATATATATTTATATATGTTGCTTTGCTTTATAATAATAATAATAATAATATCTTTTATTATACGCCCGTTTACGGGACATATTATGGTATACCGTTGTCCGTCCGTCTACGAATACGAATACGTCGTCAAAACTTCGGACTATAACTCAAAAACGCTTTCACTAATTATCATGAAACTTTGGGGAGTTGTTTATATCTATTGACGTAAGCTCCCTTTCGATTTTTATAAATTTAAGAGTTTACGTTTCTGAGAATTAGGACTTTATTCATAAAAAATGGGGGATTTTCCAGTTTTCGGACAATAACTCAAAAATGCTTTGAGCAATTTTCATTAAACTTTGTAGGCTTGTTTAATCTATTGAAATAAGCTTCCCCCCCTTTTTTTTTTTTTTTTTTTTTTTTTTATAAATTTCTGATATGACATTGCGGAGTTATGGAACTTCCGAGCTAAAAGGGGCGTATCATGCGCTCATGGCGCAGCTCTTTGTTTAAAGAGGGTAACCCAATTAGTTTTCACTAATCTTACTTGGGGCCCTCCGTGAAAATGGCCTTTATATGTTGCATGTGCTCTGTATTTATTCTTTATTCATATGTACTGCTTGCATTGATTGTATGTCGGTGCTGTAAATGTATATGTTGCTAATTAAAGATTGATCCTGTTATATTATAATATTTCAGTCGGTTAAAGAGCTCATGTTCTATGGTGATTGTATATATGAAAACCCGACTTTAAATAAAGATTATATACTTACTTAGGAAAGTAATCCAGAGACATGTATAGTAAGTATGTCTCTGAGTTATCCCAGTTATCAAAGATATGTAGAAGATAATCTATTTTTTTTTACAAAGAAAGTTAAAGACCAAACAGCCAGGGGCGTAGCTGGACTAAAATAAAGTGCAATCATAAGTATCGCCGAGCGAAGCGAGGCGAAAATTATTTTTGGACCATTTTATGCAGGAAATGATTACTTTTTTCGGGCATTTTCCCGGTATGCCATTCTTTTGAAATTCACATCACTCCTTCACGCCCAAACTCCTATTTTGTGAATACTTGTGGACTTTATAGTGATTCGACAAGGGAGGAGGCTATGGACCGCTCAAAGTCCCCAACTGGTCCAGGGTAGCACCCTAGTCGGGGATCCAGGGCAGCATCGTATACGGTGGTCCAGGGAAGCGAATCCCCATGAAGCTCCGGGCATATGAGTAATTACAGTGACTGCTTTGAACATGAAAATTACCCTATCTGTTTCTTACTATACCATATTTTCATGAAACGATAGTAAAAGTCTAGTGAGTTCCGTAATTTGCTGCTTATATTAGTAACATGGTTATTTTCAAATATAAAATAAATTTTATAAAACGGGAAGACCAGGAAGAGTCGACAACCGAAGCGTTAATCAATGGACAATTGACAAACCCGGGAACAGATAAGACACAAAAGGAGAAACAAAAACATTCAACATTGAAAACTAAATACAGATGAAAAACACGGACCCAAAACAACAATGTGGCGACCTCCGGTGCTCCGGAAGGGTAAGCAGTTACTGCTTCTTGCAAGACATCCGTAGTGTTTCTCACGAAAGTCATTCTCAAATCAAAGGAGAGGTTTCTACGACAACGGTAGAAGGTCATTTGGGATACAGATACCCCAGGTGAATTAACAGTCTTTTGGACGAACGGACAATAGGAATACGAAATCTAACGGCCACTTTTAAGTCTTGACTTATAAGTAAGGGAAATAAATCTGAGATGTTTTCAAGGTGATTGTATTGAGCCTGTATTATTAAATGTTAATACTGCATGTAAGACTTAAAGTATATTAATATCGAAAGTCAATATATCTATTTTTTGCCAAGGCAAATGATCGCAGAACTCTCTCGGTGTTGATATCCATTTCTTTGTGAACATGTATGAGCGCCAACGAAGATAGTCTGTCCTGTACCATGGTTGAACGGAATAGTTTTCGGTCGCCGTAATGCACTAAATGACCGTTCAGTAGTTGATGTAGTTACTGGCATTGTAACTAGAATTGAGAAGATTGCGAATATTGAAGGATATAGTTCCTTATTAGTCACTGCTCGAGACGACATCAGATATTTGGGCTTTAAACACCGCCCGACACGATAATCTGTAAAGACTAAAAACTATCCGTAATTCAATTTTAGATTTTTTTTATTTTTTTTGTGAAAAAAATGTGCAAGCAAAAGATTTTTTGCGTAAAGGCAGCTACGCGCCTGACAGCCTATTCAGTTCTACCAGTGATGTTTCCTTAAAATTTTGTGTGAAGGTATTTCATGATTTGAGGAACAAAATATGATAAAAAAAATTCGGGGTCACCGACTTAGTTTTGTCACTATAGCAACCTCAGTTTCGTGTTTTCCCGAAATTAACATGATATTTGCTTGTTATTTAAACTCTAAAAAAATCCCATTATATCAAACCTACAATCATAATTCTTGTTTCATGTTAAACAGTAGATTTGTGTCTATCAAATACAGGTTCAAGAGTTTAAGACTCTTATTGTTTTGATCTTAAAAAATATGATTTATTTCATTCCCGCCAAAAATAAAACGCAAGAATGAAAAACGTTTCAAGTATTAAAAAATATCTACCAGTGATTTTTTCATAAAAATTTCAAGAAGGAAAGTGCCATGTGTACTCTTCAAAATAAAGCAAAAAAATGTATATATCACCGACCTTTCAAAAACGTTATGATTAATTTTCATGTTTTTTTCTCGTTCGTTTTGAAGAAAAGAGTTGTCTTTCTTCAGAACATTGAATCTGACGTCATAGTACAAGTTTTCCTTGCTGGCGTCCTGTTTGAAAAAAATTGCAAATTGGACGTTTGAAACCCAAATTTAAATTTCCAAGAATCAAGAATAACAACTATATTCACCTACTTTATTATCCGGTTATACAAGAGATCACATGTATGTATCAGTATCAGATCTCATGATGTTGTTGCCGCACAAAATTAACCTTCAGAAACACCATCCGTCGGAATGAAAAATTGTTCGAAATAACCTTTTACGACGCTTTAGAAAGGAAAGTCTGTTTTTGTCCTCTCCCTCTTATTAGCAAAATCATTGAAAATAAAAAGAGAAATGAAAGATGACACTGGCTAACTTACAGACTATTTGACTATATTAGACTAGATGTGTGGGGTTTTTTTGTCGCGTCAATTTCAGAACTTCGCCCTAGCGCACTCTTTCGCTACTGTTGACAGACGGACAGAAATTAGCACGGACGGACTTCTTTATACCATTATGTGTCCCGACTAAGACGAGCGTGTACAAAATATTCCATCTAGTTTGTGGATTCATTATTTCTGAATATTTAAAATATAAGTAAATTAAAATTATAGGCATTATATGAATTAAAGTTTTTGATTCTAAAACGTTTTACATCCATTTAACCTATCATAAAATACGATCCCCGTAATTACTACCTCATGTGTTTTGAATGAACGAGACAGTAAATATAAAATACAAATAAGTTTTTAATTCAAAAATTGATTTAGAATCTAAGAAAAATTTTCCGTTGAAAATTATAAAGTAT